TTCTTCTCCTGCCCATCCCCTAGCCACTTGGCGAGCGTCCCCTCCTTCCCAGCTCTCTTGACCTCCATGCAAGTGGGAAGAGACGGAGACCCCAGCCTAGCCTCTAACGCTCTGTCCTGCAGCCCTGCTCTTGCAGGGTGCTCCTGCAGCATGTGTGAAGGCCCCTCCGGCACGCTGGTGCCGAATGTACTCTATTGCAAATCCTCAGCTGCCTGCTCCCGCTTAGTCCTGGGTGAATGTGCTTAGCAGAGCTGTGTTTGGATCCAGCCCTCTCTGCTTTCAGCCTGCTCGGCCCCAGCCAGTCTTTCTCCTCCTTCAGTGTGCCAGGGTGGGTGGAGGTGCAGGTACAAATGTGCCATGTGCCCTGGAAAGCCTTTGGTCCAAATGGGATGATGACAGGTGCAAGACCCTTATCAGAGACCATTGGGGCTAGGTCTTCTTGAAATTTAGAAAGATATTACAGTGCAAATGCCATACAGTATGCAATACCCCCAGGAGGCCTGGGGCAGTATCCTGAGAGCAAATTCGTGCTGGCCTTCCCGCAGTGCAGCAGACAGTATTCCCCCACCAAGGCACTAGGCAGCGGCAGGGAATAGCTTTGATGTCAAGTTTTGTTGCCAGCTGAGTTGCTGAAAACTTAGGGACAAACTTGTGGCTTTCAGAGCATTTCAGAGTTTGGAATTGTGGAAAGGGGACTCTAGCCATAGTCAACTTACTACTCCAAGCCAAAAGCTGGAGAAAGTCCCAGAGAGGTGGGAGGATTCCTGGAGGCTAGAGTCATACTGGCCCGAGGGAAGGGCGGATTCCCAGGGCTCTGTCCCCTAGCCATCAAGGGTGCCACTCACACCTGTCCCAGCCTGTCCCAAGCAGGCTGGGGGGTACGACTGAGGTGACCTCTGGAGGCAGAATAGGAACAATTTACCCCAGGATTCTTTTTTTTTTTTTTTTTGAGATGGAGTCTTGCTCTTGTTGCCCAGGCTGGAGTGCAATGGCACGACTCGGCTTACCACAGCCTCCGCCTCTCAGGTTCAAGCGATTCTCCTGCCTCAGCCTCCTGAGTAGCTGGGATTACAGGCAGGCACCACCACGCCTGACCAATTTTTGTATTTTTAGTAGACCTGGGGTTTCTCCATATTGGTCAGGTTGGTCTCGAACTGTCAACCTCAGGTGATCCGCCCGCCTTGGTCTCCCAAAGTGCTGGGATTACAGGCTCGCCTGGCCAAATTACCTCAGGGTTCTTAACTGGGGCCCAGCCCCTTGACCCCAGCCCCTGGCTCCTCCTCAAGCCTGCAGAGTGACTTATGACTCTCTGGAGAGCCTGGGGCCATTGCATTCTCTTCACAGTCAGCTCTTCATCCTGAAAATGTCCTTCCAGGGGACAGTTATTGTTTAAACAAACTCCCCCATCAGAGACATTTTCATCTAATGGCCTGGTTTAGGGGAAACCAAAATTGAAACCCATCAGACACGGAGGCTGAGGCGATGGCTGGGCCAGCTCAACACGGAAGCATTTATCAGGGGTCCTGGGTTGGCTCGGTTCTCAGCGAACCTGCACCTCCAGACTAGCTTTGATTTATTTCAGCAAATCCTAAACTTCAGGATTTTCAAAGACAGTTGCCCTCCTCTATTAGGATTCTTTCGAAAGGTTGGGGGGAGTTGTTTTTCCTCACTGGGGAGGCCAGAGAAAGAGCAGGAAGAAAGAATCTGATGCAGCAGGAGGGAGTTAGGTCAGACCTCAGGAAGAACTTCCAGGTCACACAGGTACGAAGAACAGGCTCAGGACTCTGTATTGTTATTTTCTCTAGGACTCCCTGCCTCTCTCTCCTCCCTTCAGCCTTCCCCCTCCCCTGCAGAGCCAGTGTTGCCAGTTCCCTGGACAAGGACTGGTGCAGGGATGGGTGGGTCACCATCACCCCCTGCTTACGCTACCAGTAGTGGCCAGCCTCTTTTAAAGGTTTAAGAGTGAGACCCAGTTCTGAATCCCAGCATCTTTAGGGAGACCTTGGTGTAGCCCCCGGTCTCACTGATGAGAAAACCAATGCTCAGAGAGGCTGGAGGGCTCCCCCACATCACCTGGTTCTTAGCACAGAGGTCTGGGCTTCTCGGTTTCCAGCCCTGTGCCCTCTTCCCCTCACCCCAACCCTTCCCTGTCAGGGCACACAGAGGGGAGGCAGGCTTGCTGGGGGCGGTTAGGAATCAGGCCTTGGAGCCGCTGGTCCAGGCCAGGTCCCTTGAAGCGTGACTCCTTGAGGTTACTTCTGATTGCTTTTCTCCCACAGCTGTGGTTCCCTAGCTCCCTCAGGGCAGGGGACGCCCCTGGAAGTTCCTTGATGTGTGTGTGTGTGTGTGTGTGTGTGTGTGTGTGTGTGTGTGTCTGTGTGAATCTGTGTTTGGGCCTCTGAGACTGTCTCCACGGCAAGTCAAGTCAGCCACCACCCAGCAGAGAGAACAAGAGTGAGAAGAGGGCGCCCCAGCTGCACAAGCAGGGGCCCACAGGTGAGCGCGGCTGACGGAGCGTTTGCGTGCTGTGACCGTCTGGAGGCCTGGGGTGGTCAGGATGTTGCCCGGAAGAGCTAGGCCTCAGTCTGGGAACCTGCAAACTGGACGAGTCCACAGACTCAGCCATCTGCCAGCCAACAGTGTTTCTTTTTTTAACCCCTGAAAAATATAGCCTGCCCAGCCTTCTGCGACACAGCTGGTGGGGGGCGGGGGGTGGGATAATTATGGCCAGAGTGAAAGCAACACTGGGGCAGGGGGTGGGGAGAGTGGCTGGGTTTGTTTTGTCTCTCAACAAATCATGGCCCATGTTATCTTCAGTTTAATTAGTTCATTCATTCATTCATTCATTTATTCAACAAGAGTATATTGAGGATTCTGTTCTGTGTTAACAATTTCAGTGGCTCCCACTTACGGGCGCCTAAACACAGGAGTAGGTGCTGTGGATACATTATTTTATTCTCTTTTCATGAACACCTTGTAAGTAGGGCCCAGGCGCTAGACCATATGGCACCTCTGAGAGGATCACATCTTTTGGGCAGACACAGCCTCAAGACAGGATTCGTCACTTGTCAAGACCAGGCAGGCTGAATTTGTGCTGCCCTGAGCCCCCTCACCTGGGCGGCCTCCTGCAGTGAACGACCTGCACCTCATACCTGCAGTCCTGCTTTGAGATTCATGTCATCATCCTTGCTTTACAGATAGAAAACTGAGGACCTTGGGCAGTGTGACCCAGACACACACATGTGACATAGTCTGGTTTGAACCCAGGCAGGCTGCAAGGACACGGTCTCTCCAGGAATAACCTGAGTTCCCTGCAGGCCCAGAGCAGCGTGCACTCGGCTGCACAGAGCGGCTGGGCAGTGGGAACTTTCATGGCCTTCACTTATATCTCTACAAAATGTGTGGTGCTGAGGTCCGAATGGCCACGGGGTGCACGCCTCAAGGGCAGAACCGCGTACAGTCATGTGTGTACACTCAGAACTGGGAATGGAGCAGGACCTCGGTCAGTGTTGTTTGCATTTTTTAAAAAAAGGCATGAGTGAATGAACAATCTGGGTGCTTCCCTCAGAGACTTCAGACTGATTGGGTAAATGAGACATGTATTTGGGCCATTACGTGTGACAGCAAAGAGAATGCAAGCTTTGCCAACATTTATTCACTCACCAAACATTCCTTGAGCTTACGCTACTGTTCAGGCATGGTGCCAGCCTCCATGGCAGAATGATGCTGAACGAGATGTGGTTTTGGGCTCGCATCATCTGGAGTTCTGGAGGAGGTGGGGCCTGGCAGGTCTTTAGGAAGGGGCAGGGGCATTGAAAAGGGCCAAGGAGGGAGAAAGGACAGTCCAGTTGCAGAGGGTGGGGGTCTGTCCCTGTTATTCTCAGACCCTCCTAGACATTCCCCTCACCTAATTTCCCCTGTAGAAATTAGCGTTGGGCTATGAGGGTGCCGAATCCTCCCAGGTCTGGGCAGCATCAAGCCCAAAGTGGCACTTTGCAGGTCAGTGGGGGGTTGAGGTACTGATGAGGAGGGAGGCCTCTGGCCAGCCTCTCTGGCTCCGCTGCCAGCCACCTTCTTCCCCAGCTTCCTGGCACAGCGTGGTGCGCCCTCCCCAGGACAAGGACAGTCACACAACACAGCTCTAATTGAAGCCACTTCTGCAGTCTGGGGCGAGATGCTCTTGCAATCCTAAGAGGGCTGCGTGGCTCCCTCACTTCCTCCCCTGCCTCCTTCTAACCAGCCCTCTCCTGAGAGTTCCCAAGCCCCCTCTAGGAAGGAGGCGAGCTGGCTCTATGGCTGGCTAGGGGATTCTTCCCGAGTCTCACTGCAGCCTGCCGACCAAGCCACCTGTTACACTTTTGTCAACCAGTGCTGGAGGGAGGCCGGCCGGTGGGGTGTTTCCCTAGCCTGGTGGGGTTCTGAGGTGTAAGGGGGCTTTGTGGTAAGTGTCCCAGGACAGGCTGTGAGGTCTGGGGCAAGTGGAGTCACCTCACTGGGCCTGTTTCTCCCCTTGTTATATACTTGAACCAGGAGCAGTGGGGTGTGCAAATGAACATGCCACATGGGGGCATACGCCACGTGCGCGCGGATGTGTGATGTTCCAGTGACGCACCAGGGTGGGAGTAGCGCGCCCCTCTGCATCCCTGTGCTTTGCTGTACTTTTCTGGGTGTGTGCTGGGGAGGCTATGTTCCTGACCCTTCCCCTCTGGGGTGAGAAGGGGTCCCTGCCATGTCCTCGGGGTAGGTAAGCAGGCACGCACACGGGGAGGAGGAAGGGGGGGCTTCCGGGAGAGGGCGCCGTTGGGGTGTGGTGGAAGGGGAGCTGCCAGCAGGGCGGGTGTGGAGGGGTGGCGGAGCGCCGCGAAAGCCCTGGTCTTCCGGAGGTGGAGGTGTGGGGTAGGGGGTGGGCTCCAGGTGCTCTCTTTTTAAAAGGCCGGCGGAAGCGAGTGAGCCTGTCCCGCACTTTCAGCGCAAACTTGCTGGGCTGGCCTCGCACCTCCTCGGGTGCTGCAGCGGCTGCCGGCCCCCTGGCCCCCTTGCGCTTCCCCGCGCTCCCGCCCTCTCCCGCAGCTTCCCCTCTCCGCGCCTTCCTCGCTCCCTCGTCTCTCGCTCCCTCTCTCGCTCGCTCTCTAGCTCGCTCTCATTTTTTTTCCTGCTGCTGTTGCCGCTGCCGCGGCGCCGCCAGGCGCCCGCACCTCCGCTGGTTGCGCTTGCCGGTCGCTCCCGCTCCGCTCCGTTCCCAGCCCGGAGCTCTCGGCCAGACCCAGCTCCCCTTGCCGCCTCGCCAGCTCCTTCCAGCTCGGACGCCGGGCTCCGCGGCAGGTGGAGCACGGGTTGCCGCCGATTCCCTCCTCGCTTGCTGGCTCGCCGGAGCAGCAGCGCAACGCCGCGCGCTTGGTGGCGGCTCCTGCCGGGCGGCCGCCAGCTCATCCCCGCTGCGTCCCGGACTCCGGGCGGCTCTGCGCCGGGCTCGGTCCGCAGCGTCAGCACCGCTCGCCGCGGCCCGGGCTCTGGGCACCGCGAGAACCGTGCCTCCGGCCGTCGCTTGCCTGCCTGCGCCCCCTGGGCAGGCGGGCACGCAGCCGATCCCTCGCCGCGGCTTAAACCTTGCTGGCGCGCGGTGAGTTGTGGCCCGAGGGGGACGGACGGAGGGGACCGTGCCCTTCGGCCTCCTGGGGCGCTGGCTGCGGCGGGGACCTCGGGGCTTGGGAGGTGGCCTCCGGCGAGCTCCCGCGCTTGGAGAGCCCGGAGGAGAGCCAGCGCCCCGGGAGCCCTAGGGGCCGGAGGGCGCGGGACCTGAACTAGAGGGTCTCCCTTCGGGGCTAGGGCAGGCTTTCCGAATGTCCCTGAGGGAGGGAATGGGGCAGAGGCTTTTTTTTTTTTTTTTTGCGGGCCCGGTGGAAAGTACTGTCTCTGTATACGGGGGCTTCCACCGGATGGAGGGTCGTGCCAGCTTTCAGGTGGGGGCGGCGGCATTAGCGCATCCCGCTCTGCGGAGAGGCAGGACAGGCAGAACAGGCGGGGGCGCCGGGCATTATTTGCGCCTCTTCCCGGCAGTCTCCCGGCGGGAGGGCATCCAGCCTCGCGCGCCTCGGCTCGTTTCCCAGGCACCGGGTCCGGCTCCCGTGCCCGCCCCAGCGCCGCCTTAGTCACCGGCCAGAGCCCGGTAACCGCTTGCCCGTGGCCTCGGCCGGTTGGGGCGGTCCCCAGTGTCTGGGGTCTCCCCGCAGCCCCAGGACTTCAGGGTCAGGGTCTCTCCGGACACGCGGGACCGTCCCTTCCCGGGACCCTGATGAAGTCTTGAGTCTACGCGGCCGCCAGGCGAGCGGACCGGCCGTGGTCTCCGTGTGCTTGCGCGTGTGTGCCGGGGGTCCCCGCTCCGGGGTCGGTCTTCCCCGGAGCTCGCAGGTGGGAGGCGTCTCCTCCCAGCGCGGGGGCGGGGCCGGGAGGTGGAGGCCCCGACTGCGAGAGGCGCCCCCGCACCCGGGCGGTCTGAGGCTGTTTGTGCTGACATGGGGCAGCAGCAGCACCGGCGGCGGCAGGGAGTCCTGAGGCCCGAACGAACGTACGAGCGCCCCCTGCCCCTAGGCCCCGAGTGACATCCCTCCCTCAGACTTTCAGTCCCTTTTGGAGGAGCCCCTTGCTTCTTTCTCACCTCTCGGCACCATTCCGGCCCCTGGCGCGGGAGAACGTCGGCCTTTCAGGACACCGACTGAGCTGGGCTTGCCTAGTTGGGTGCCCGAAGCCACGTGTCTGTCAGAGAGGTGGCTGCCCCTGTGTCAATCTGGCAGAAAGCCCGAGGTGACAGGGAGGGAGGGGCATGTGTGTTCCCATCATAGTTCCTCGCCTTGTCCGTTCTGGGGTGAGAGTGGGGGCTTAGGGCAAGCGGGGAGGTCAGGGCTCCTAGAGTCTCCAGGCAGAGCACCGCATCCCACACCCTGCCATTCCGTAGCGCTCAGCCTCCCGCCCCGGGGCCAGCCCTTGGTGGAGGTGAAGAATGCCCTCATTCCCATCTCACTACATTCCCTGGATGTGTCCTGTGCTCCCCACTTTCTCCTGGATCCCGATGGGATGCTGGGCCTCAGGTCTACACGCTCAGCTCCTCCGAGCCCAGAAGGGCCTGGGGGCCTTCCTGCCTGAGGTAGGGGGAAGCGTCTATGAAGAGAGGAGGACTAGCAGGAGCCTTTCCAGAGGTGGCACAACTCCCGCAGAGGCCTCTGGGCACTCCGAGGTGGGATCACCCACAGCGCAGGGTCCTCATCACCTCTTCTTGGCGAGCCCTGGGGACAGGTGAACCGGCCCTGGAAGTGGACCTGACTGCAATGGAGAGTGGAGGTTGGAGCCTTGTCCCCTCCCACGTCCTGGAGGGCCTCACCAGCCCTTAGTCAGATCCTGTCCTTGGGGTGGGGTGGGTGGGGGCTTTGAGGATGGCACCTCAGAGCCTCTGCTCATCCGTCGGCTGGGCACGATGTCCCCTTATGAATTGGATGGCCACTGTCTTCATGTTCCTCCAGCTTCTGTCCTTTTACACATAAGCTTTTGCCTACCTGCCAATACCTTCACACCCGTCAGGGACAAAAATACCTCAAAAGTTATTCCCCCCGCACCCCGCATCTTAGCCACCTTAGAGACTACCCTTTCCAGGAGCATCTGCATTTCAGAATGACGGGAGAGGAAGACGGCAATGCTTAACCCAAAGGAGTGCTCTACTCTACTCATGGATTCTCAGCATTTTCAGGAGCGAGATATATGGGGGGGGCACGTAGCTTGTCACTAAGCACAGGTCCTGAGCAGGCGGAGGGGAGGCGGGAGCATGTCAGGAGTTGAGCTGCTTTCTGGGCCTCAGTGGCCTTGCGTAGGCTGCTCCTCTTCCCTCCCCCCTCCCCCCTCCCCCCTCTCCCGACCTGCGTCTGGGCGGCTTCATTCCGTTGGAGGCGTGACGTCTCTGAGAGGGAGCGCCTTGCACAGCAGCAGGCAGCCCGAGGTAGGTGAGAGAGCGAGCGAGCGAGCATGTGAGCCTGGGACTGAGCGGTGTGCTAGCCAGAAGGGCCAGGGGACCGGGCTCAGGCCCAGGAGGGCTCTGCAGCCCCCACTTGGTTCATGAGGGGCCCACAGTCCAGCGCCAGGATGGGTGACCACACCCATACCTGCCCTGCTGCGGGGGACAGTTGGCAGCCAAAGATGGGAGCAGAACCCACAGGCTCCTGAGCTGAATAATTACAACCGGTAGATGTGTCCTCTCTCCCAGGCAAGTGTGGAGCCAGCAGCTGCTAATTACCACCCACCCCAAGATATCTGCCCACCCCACTGTCTTCCTCTGCTTGGCCTAGAACCCAACTTTCCAGTAGGCAGGCCGCACTGGCAGCCTGGGCAGCCGAGCCTGCCGGCTGCTGGTGGAAGGTTATCTCACTTCTGCACGGTGGCAGCCGCCTTTGCCTCCTGGAGAAGGCATGCAGGGAGCTGGCATCGGAGCTCCAGCCCCACTCACTGGAGCTGCAGAAGAGCTGCTGGCTGTCTTGGCGGGCCTAACGGGGCTTGCACTGGTAGGCAATGGGCCTGGAGCAGTGGACATCAGCTCTCTGTCACTCCCACTCAGCCTGATGGCTCCTGGAAAGAACGGAGAGGGCTCATTTTTTTAAGTGTCACCTCTGCCCTAGTTAGCAGGGAACTATAAAAAATTAAGTTAGAGGTTTTGCTGCCTTTGGTCCTTGTAGAGTGCAGGTTGCTTTTTCTTGTCCTGTGAGCTGTCTGTCTCTCTCCTCTCTGTGTACTGTCTCTGGCTTCCGTCTCTCTGCTGCCTCTTAGATGAACCTGAGGCTGGTAGCTTCTCCTTCACAACCAGTTCCTTCTCCCTGCCCGCCCTGGGGGCTTCCGCCTCAGTTTCCTGCTTCTCCCTCCACCTGGCTTGCCTTGCCTGAGACTGCTCCTGAAAGGGAGGCATGTCGGTGGAACTTGCTTAGAAGAGAGGAAGCCTGCTACCTGGCAGCCAGCCCACTCTGTGGCCCTGCCCACCTCCCCCCGACCGACCCACAGGCCCAAGAGACTGTTCCAGTCTGTCCGTGTTTCTCTTGGCTCCTTGGAAAAACGAGCACCACAAGGATAGTAAAAATCACCCCTTAAATTAAAGCTGATGACTGTCGTCGAAATGTTTTATTATTAACTTCGCCATTTAGCAATCTCGTGGCAGCAGTGAGGCATAAATATATGTGTACACACGTATATTAAATAAATTGGGGAACGAAGTGCATAATGACATTGTCTGGACCCCATTCAATTAAGGTAGATATTATCTGTGGTAATTGGGAAATGCCAGCCCATGCCATTTGGGGCCGAGCCACTCTGACAGGCAGGCTGTGGTGTCTAGTTAAGGCTCTCAGTTCTCCTGAGAAGGCACTGGCCGCCCATCGGCTGTGATGATGGTGAATCCCAGGAGACCTCCAGCAGCTGTGCTCCCCAGGCTGGGCCACCTGCATGGGAACCAGGAGGTCTGTGTTCCACCCAGTCCCTCACACTTGGCCGTCCCAGCCACCCCTCTGCTCCTTAGGGTGACACAAGCTAGCCCCTGGATCTGTTTCCTGGTTGGGGCCATAATTTCTAGTCAAAACTCTGCCATTGCTGCAGGGTTATTTTTAGGTTTAAGTATAGAAATGAAGATTGGAGGCTTGACCTGATTCCTAAGCTTGCGGAGGGGATTGCTTCTCAGGTGTCACTCACTGCCCCTTTTCAGTGCCTGACCTCAGTGCAGACTCGGATGGAAGTCTCCCCACCAACCACAGCTACGTTCATGCGGTGCAGAGTTTGGGTGTTGATGGGGCTATGCCAGTGGCCCCTGCTTTCCAGTGCAGTGTTGGGTTGTTGGGGGCACAGGAAGAGGGAGGAGAGCGGAAGAAGCAGTCTTAGCGGCAAAACCCACAATAATAGTGTCTGCAGACAAAGACACTTGCCCACTTGGGTCTTGTGCTGGGAAACTAGAGATGGTGGTGGCATGTGGGGATGGGGAAGAGAAGCCTGGGGTCCGCAAGGTTGTGGGGGCCTGCTGGGTGGAGGAGACCCAGGCAAGCATGAGCCTGGTGGCTGGTCCCCTGGCCCTGGGAGAGGAGAGAGGTCAGGGCGGGGCGTTTTCTGGGCTGAGCAGGGGGCCCAAGGGCTGATGAGACAGCTTGCCTTGTCAGGGGGACTTGCTGCTGTGAGCTGCTGTGGCCTTGGCAGGTGGCTGTCCTTCTAGGTCTCCAGTTTCTCTGGCGATGTGTCCCTGCCTGTGCTGTGCTCAGACCCTTCAGTGGCCCCTCGTTTCCCTGTCCACACTGTGGTCCACAAGGTCCTGTTGATCTTGTGTTCTGGGCCCTCTCTGACTTCATTGCATCAACCCTCTCCCCACTGCCCCTTGGTCACGTTGGGCTCCTTGCTCATCTTCAAATGTCAAGTACCAAGCCTGTGCCCACCTCAGGGCCTTTGCACTTGATGTTCTTTCTCTTTGGAATCCTCTTCGCCCAGGTGTTCACATGACTCATGCCTTTTCAGCTTTTACTCTAGGATCAAATGCCACCTCCTCAGAGAAGCCCTCCCTGATTATTCTTTTCTTAAAAAGCCCCTCTGGGTCATTTCCTGTTGCCTCACCTG